CACAGACACACACAGACACACACAGACACACACAGACACACACAGACACACACAGACACACACACACACACACAGACACACACAGACACACACAGACACACACAGACACACACAGACACACACAGACACACACAGACACACAGACACACAGACACACAGACACACACACACACACACTGCTTAGGTTGATTTGATGATGATGAGAGTAGAACTTGCCGTCGCCTGATTTCCTAAGTCACCTTCGATGGGGCACGGTTGCAAACGGTGAAATTCGGGCAATCGATTCTTGCCAAAGGACTCAAAAACAAGGTAATAGAACAGCTTGTGCAAAAGTTCGAACCAACATTGCAGGTACGTCAACCCAGCGTCCCAGGTTGATATCACTGTGACATCAGAAGCGTCTTCGTTGGCTGGAGACTTCTGATTCACACTCCAGCCCCCTGCATGTCTGAATTAAAATTCAGTTCTTATTGTCGCCACATATTGTCTTCCTTGCTTCGTTGTACGAAATTGTAAAATATCCGTATGTTATAACGGGTTTCACACTCACACACACACACACATGTGTGTGTATGTGCATGCAGCTGTGTATTTGTATAGACATGACCGTCCAGAGAGGTAAAGGTTCGTGGCTTTGCGCTCACTGGAAAACGAATTGTCCAACTGGGAAATGGACAATGCTGCAATGCTGCAATGCTGCAATGCCACTGCAAAGCCCCTGCAATGCTATCCACTTGGATGCGGCTGCCCAAAGCCAAGCTGAGCTCCGAGGCTTCTAGACTTGGACATCTCTGGAGTGGAGAAGATCGGCGACAAGAGCATGATGTTATTGGCGGAGGCGCTGGAAATTAGCAGAATTAAGAATCTCTTCTTATCGTTCCGTTCCTGCAGAGCGCTAAGCGATGTGGGGGTGCAAGCCATTGTGAATGCATTACCCAGCAGCGTGACATTGTTGAAGATGGATTTGGGCGATTGCGAGATTTCAGATGCAAGTGTGGATGCGTTGTCCAGCCAACTGCAGCACATGCAACACCTTGGCGTCATCCAAGTGAATTTGCATGGCTGCAAGGAAGTTACCGAAACATCAATATCCCGCTTTGTTGGGAAGCTGCCATGGACCCTGCGCGGTGCCAAGCTTGACCTGAGTGACACATGCCTGCCAAAGGACATCCAGAGGATTTGCAGGCGGTTGACTACAATGCGCTCATGGATGCCCTCGAAGCCCCAAAGCCAGATCAAGAATCCAACCTCGACCAATTTTGTCCAACTTGAACCCGAAAAAGTTGGCCTTGAGCTGCAGAGCGTTGATTTGTTCCTCCACCGAGGTGTTGTCCAAAATGTCTCCCCCCCTGCTGTCAAAGTCACAGGGAAAAAACTTTCGTGGCTGGAGACTCTATGCCCTTCCACTGATGAGGAAGTGAAGCGTATGAGTCGAACATTTAGCGAGCCACACATCCGACAATTCAAGCCCCTCCTGCCGTTTGTAGTGCACCCAGCAAGGGGATGTGCTATATCTTCAATGGCAAGACCTGAGTGCATGTATTCCAGACCTCGTACTTCCCACAACGGCAAGTCAGAGCCAATCTGGTATCCTTAATGCATTAAGACATTTAAGACATCTCAAGACCACAAAAGCTCCTCAGCATCTACGCCAATTAGGCATTTGTGCATTTTGTACAAACTCTAGGGATGCGTTGCTTGACCTTCAAAAGGACTCAAGAGCATCCACCGGAGGAACTTGTGGAAACGAATATCCCTCCAACCGCCATTTTCCACCCCTTTGCGATGTTCTAGTCAGTGAAGTTGATAGTGTGGAAGGAGGAAAGGCTGAGAGAACGATACAGCTGCAATGGTCATGCCAGACATGTCCATGCCTTGAAACATGGCTTGGTAAGTTTCCGCACAATGGTCCGGCAGGCGCCATGAATTGTATAGGTTCCCTTTTCTGATTTGATGATTTGTACATTTGGCTTCTCTTGATGTGGCCAAGATTTTGGTTTTACATCGTGTTTCCCTTTTCGCGCCTGGCCTATACCAAGACAAGACTTGTCATGGGCATTGCAGTCTTGGAGTATTGGGGATGCGTATTGACCTGCACAACCTGGTAGTATTTCGGATCAAAACATGATGAACATGCAGAATGTTGGGTAGCCTTAGTGACATGCTCGTTCGGGAAGGGTGGATTTCCCGCCAAGCGAGTAGTGGCAACATGTGGAACTAGAAAAGCAAGACAGTCGACAGACAGATGCAGCACAAGCAACTTCAAAGCCACTACATGCCTCCAACAAAAACACGTAAGTCACGAAAGTTGTATTGATTCGTCAATGTATGTGCCACCTCATACTTCCCCATCGGCAGCTTTATGGAGCCGCTTTGGAAAGAGTTTGCTCAAAAGGAGGACTTGACGGTTCGTCTCCGCAACATTTTGCAGGACTATGCTTTTGGGCCACAAATATTCAGAGAACTGCTGCAGAATGCGGATGATGCAGGTGCCTCCCGCTTTGCTTTGTACGCGGACAATGTGTATCACGAGGGTTATGAAGTTCGAGCAGTTGAAGCTTCACCTGAGGCAATGAAGGGACATAGATTGCTGGACGCCCGTTTGGCATCGTGGCAGGGCCCTGGAATAATGGCCTTCAATAACGCCCTTTTCTCAGAGGACGACTTCGAGGGTATTTGCCGAGTCGGAGCATCAATCAAGCAGTCCGATCACACAAAGATTGGCCGATATGGGCTGGGCTTTAACGCAACTTACCACTTGACTGATGTGGTTTCATTTGTGTCAAACAATCGCCTTTGCATTTTTGACCCTCACAGGGCTCATTTGCCATCAAACCTGCCTGGTTTGCAGCTTGTTCTTACAGATGAATCACGGAAGCAGTTTTCTGCCCAGCTTGCACCTTTCAACGATGTTCTGGCAGCTGAAGCCCAGAAAACAGGGCCAGTTGAAGCTCCTGGCCCTGGCAGCCCTGGTACATCTGGTACTCTCTTCCGATTGCCCTTGCGAACCGAGAAGCTAGCAGCCAACTCATCGATATCTCAACTGTCGCACCACTTCCACGATGTGCTGTCCCTTCTGCAGGATTTTTTAGCGTCTGCAGGAGAAGTACGCACCAGAAAAGCATAAGTTCCTGGGGAAAAGGTCTGTTTTGACTGCAGACTACATAGATCTATAAGTCTATTCGTCTGTACTGTATTGTGCTGTTTCATGTAGACGCATTGACATAGAGAGAGAGAGAGAGATAGCCTGAAGAGACGCCGCAGGAGAGGTCTTGCTTTTTTTGCAGTCGGTGGAAGAGGTCGAAGTTCATATCAGAGAAGATACTTCATCGAGCTCTAAGTGGAGCTCTCTAGGAAGTGTCCGAATCCATACAGCAGGTCCGGCTGCCACCACAAAGCTGCGAAAAGAGCGCCAGATGCTGAAGAACTTGGTTGATGACAAAATTGAACAGGACTGCAGGCGACAAACTTGTTTAAATCCAAAACGTGCAGAGCTTGTGATCAAAGTTGAAAGGGTCCAAATTGGCTTGACCAGTACCCAGTGATCAGTCTTGGGCGGTCTCAAATCATTCAAATCCGCAAGGCCTGATATATATATAATATTTATATATGCATATATAATCTTTATATACCTTTTTTAATCTTTTTTTGGGCTATGCTTTGGATGCCAGTGACTTGGTATTTTTGGACTTCACTACTATGTGTGGTAACAAGACGCCATGCCTTTGAGTGTTGTCGCTCCAAGCCAGGATCGAAAGGCTCTTCGAACAGGGTTTGCCATTGCTTTCTCTCTACACGGTGCAGCTAGGCCATCTGGTGATAGGCACCATTCAGCAGATCCATCAATCACTGCTTGGCTAGTGGCAGCACGTGCAGAGCCAGCCGAGGAATCTGGGCTCCTGAAAAACGATTTGTTTGTGTTCAGAGTGTTCAGAAATGTTCAGAATGTTTTTGAAATATTTTGACTAGATTGGCCAAGCTCCTAAGAATTGCATTTCTTGGCGCTGTCTTTCTTGGAACAAACACCAGCAGTTCGCGGAGTTCGCGCTCTTCTTTGTTGCCTATTGCGCACTATCGTGCGCACCAAGACATCTCTACATATGTCAGGAAAGGTAGCTCCAGTGGGGCTACCTTGTGTTTTGCTTTACGAAGTAAAGGGGCGGGCAGCCAGCCGCGTTACCTGATTATTCAGGAGATTGCTAGTCATTTCAGTACCCCCCCGTTCGCGCCCCCCACGCACCCCAGAGTGTAGCTGATAGCAGCACCTTGCTGCACGCACCCAAAGAGCAGACCCAAAAACACTGTAATTTATTTACAGATATTTACGGTATTTTTGTCCTTTTCGGATATATATATATACACATACATGCCCAGACAGACAGACAGACAGACGGACAGACAGACATTCTTTCATTCTTTCATTCTTTCATTCATTCATTCCTTCCTTCCTTCCTTCATTCATTCATTCATTCATTCATTCATGCACGCAGACACACATACATACATACGTACGTACGTACGTACGTACATACATACATACATGTTAATATCCAAGTATGTGTACAGTAGACCAACATACCTGTACACCAACATCCAAACGTTTGACAACGTTTGGCTCAAGACAACAGTGCCCAGAGACAACAGCGAGAGAAACAACACAGCTGCGCGTGTTCAACACTGCATTCAACAGGGGAAAGCTGCTGTGAATTTTTCATGGTAGCGGAGCTCTGCCTAACCAGGGGCATCTCCAAGCAACAGCAGTAAACAACAGGCGGAGGACTTGATCCCAGAACACTGGGGGATTCTCAACAACACTCAGCACAACACAAACCACAATGGCAGCGCCAGCAGACGACGAAGCAACAGCCTTGGCAGCAACACACAAGCTCAAACTGAAACCTCCAACATATGATGGCAACTATGCCACATATGAAGAATGGAAATACAAGTTCACAGCATACATGGGCCTACATGACCCATTCTATCCAAGGATGTTCAGACTGGCCGAAGCAGCAACACAACAAGTGACTGAGGCACACCTAAGACAGGCAGCCACAACACTGGAGGAAGCAGATGCATGGGTCCAACTCGACAGCAACCTTAAGTACGTGTTAATCAATGTGACAACAGGAGCAGCAGCCACACTTTGCAGACAGTATCAACACGAGATTGGACTCGAGATACTCCGACAACCCAACATTAGATTTGCATTGCCCATTGGAACAAGAAGCATCGGGTATCTCACAAAGCTTTTGAAGCCAACATTCGACAACAACAACTTCGAGGAGTCATTCTCCAATTGGGAGTTTGAGCTCAACAAGTATGAAAGGGACAACAACACACAACTTCCAGACCAAGTCAAGATTGCAGTCTTGATGAATGAAACAAAAGGACCTTTACAACAACATCTTCAACTCATGGCTGGAGCGACACCAACCTACACCGACGTCAGAGCAACAATCATGGAATACTACAGAACAACAACAGCATTCACCAGACTCCAGCAAGGAGCATCATCCAGTGTTGCAACAAACTACAATGGAGGAGCTGCACCAATGGATATAGGAGCCATCAACAAAGGAAAAGGAAAAGGAAAAGGAAAGAACAAAGGCAAAGGAAAGAAAGGAAAGAACAAAGGAAAGAAAGGCAACAAAGGAAAAGACTATGGCCAACATAGCTATGGCTACGGAGGACAAGGCAAAGGAAAAGGACCAATTGGCCAACAACAGACATACTACAAAGGATTCAACAGCTATGCGCAAGGAAAAGGAAAAGGGCAAGGAAAGCCAACAGGCAAAGGAAAAGGATACACAACAGGCTGCTACAGATGTGGTCAACAAGGCCACACAGCAAAGGATTGCAGAGTTGCAATGTACAACATACAAGAGGATATCCAGGAAGGTTACAACGACGCAACAGAACAGTGGTATGGACATGGACCACAGACCACCTATGACAACCATTGGTGGACAAACGACCAAACACAAGTCAATGCAGTTCAACAACCACAACAATTGGCATTGCCCGCACCTGCACAATTAGATGCAACACCAGCTTTTCAGATTACAGCGGTCACAGCACCACGCAACAGCAACCGCATAATCAGAGCACCAGACATGAGGATGATCACAGACATCAACAAAGATGAGCTTATGATCGACAGTGGAGCAGCAACACATGTCTGCCCAATCTGGTTTGCCTCGACAACACAAACATATGACATACCAGAACACGAGAGGCCAAACCTGAGAACAGCAACAGAAGATCCCATCACAGTCTATGGGTACAAATGGGTCTACATGACAAACGAGAGCAACCAACAAATTGTGATCCCATTCTATGTGTGCTCGGTTTCACAACCCATTCTGTCGGTAACAAGACTGACAGAACAAGGTTTCTCAATACATCTCAGTGAGCAACCAACAATCACACACCCAAACGGATTTGAAGCAAAACTGAAAACAAAGGAAGGAACATACTTCCTGCCTGTGAACACCACAGGAACACCACCAAACTACAAACTGGACGTACACGAGTCACAACAAGGAATCAGAGCAACAATATCACCCATCACATTGACACCAGAAGGAACACAATGGGTGACACATCAACACGACATTTGGACCTACAACAGCCAAGGATACCTGGTGAGACTTCACAAAGCAAGTCGAAGAGCAACATACATGCCAGATCAACAATGTCCAGTCCCAATGGACAAACTCGAGGACTACAGGAGGACAATCGCACACAAACATGACGGAACAACCGAAGACTTTGTGGAGCAACTTCACAGCCTTGACCACAGCAAGCAAAAGAGGAAACTCAACACAGCTTGGAAAGGAGAAACATGGTTCAGGGTCAAGCCGAACATAAGACCACCAAAGCCACCAATTGCATCACAAAACACCACAAGCAGAGCACAAACAACATCCAACCAACAACAACAATCACAAGCATTACAGAAGAGGAGATACACCGAGAAGAAGCCAGAGAGACCAGAGGAGATGGCAACAAACAAGGAACAACAGCCAAGCAGTGCACAGCAATCACCATCAGCAACCGGCATTCCCAGACCAATGGAGGTTCCAGCAACAGAGGACCACTGGATCCGTGAAGGACACCTTTGGAAAAGAGTTCACATCAGACCCAGAACAGAACTCTACATACCGCAACAAACACAAGATGGACCAGATGTGACAAAACTGAGCCCCGAGAGAACAACAATGGTCAGACCAACATCGGGAGCAAGATGGCACAGAATTGACGATGATTGGACAACAAAACGACAAGCAACTTTGAGCGTCCCATGGACTGGCTCAACAAACCTTGAGGAGAGCGTCACATACAAGGATGAGGTCCAGGGTGAGGATGAGGAGCATCCACAACAAGCAAAGCCAGCAAGAGGACTTACAGCACCAGCACAACCTACACAACAAGAGCGAGCAGAACACGAGCTCACACACCTTCCCTTCAGGAGTTGGTGTCCAACATGTGTAGCCAACAAAGGAAGAGCAGACAATCACCCGAAACAGAAGAGCAAAATGCCAGTGGTGCAATTCGACTTCTGCTACTTCAAGACAGCAGGAGAAGCAACAACAACAGCAATCCTTACAGGAATTGACGTTGAAACAGGCATGGTGATGGCAACAATGGTAGGAGACAAGCAACAAGACTTTCAATACCATGTCAACTGCATCCAATCATTCCTCATGGAATGCGGCAGAGTACAAGCAGTACTCAACAGCACAATACTGCAATCAGATCAAGAAGACCATCTGATTGCACTCCTACAAACAGCAGCAAGCAAGATGGGCGGCAACATCACCGTCAGACAATCACCTACATACAGCTCACAAGCACAAGGCAGCGTCGAACGATTCCATCGAACACTGATGGGACAAATCAGAACACTGAGAGCACAATTACAACAAAACTACGACAGAACAATCACCAGCAGACACCCAATAGTACCATGGATGGTACGACACACAGCGTACTTACTCAACAGGTACGCAACACACGCGGACGGCAACACAAGCTACTTCCGCAGATGGAACAAGGACCACAGAGCTCCAATCTGTGAGTTTGGAGAAACAGTTCAGTATCTACTCCCAACAGTCAAACAACTTCCAAAAATGGAACAGCGGTTCTTCAAAGCAATTTGGCTCGGAAGAGACACATCAACAGGAGAAACTCTCCTTGGCATTGGCAACAAGGTTGTCAGAGCAAGAGCGATCAGACGCATGCCGAAACCTGACAAATATGACAAACAGATGTTCGACATCATCACAGGACATTCAATGATACCACCACCAACATCACAAGCACAGCTACAGCCACCGATGGTCTTCCATCCGCCAAGAAGACCACCAGCAACAATGGAGAAGCAGACCTCGACAGAACAAGCACCATTGACGACAGCGCAGACTAACACACCACAACTTCCACCAAAAGCAATCGCAGACACGCCAATGGCAACAGCAACACCAGCACTGGCCAGTTCACCAATGGCCACAGCACCAACAAGTTGTCACAGCAGACAAGCGCTGCCTTCGCCAACAAAGAGACGTGAGGCAGACGACATAGCAGAAGGAAGTTCAGCAAAGCAACAACGAACAAACACACAGCAAGAAGCACCAGCCCGTCCAGAGCCAACACCAGAACAGCCGAAGAGTAGACTCAGGATCACAAAGGTCACCATACAAACCAAACAAGGAGAAGAGATCACAGCATACTCTTCCGAGGATGCCACAGAACAACAAACAGAGAGGATCCTTCTTGAACCCATCGTGAACAACACCGATGGTTTGGACAAACAGAAGACAATTGAAGGAATGAAACAGGAAATCCTTGCCATGAAGCAACAACAAGTCTACATGGAGGTAGG